GAATATAGCAATGGAAGGATACAACCTTGTTCAAATAAATACTGTAGATCTAACAGTAGTAAAAGGGGAAAGATATAAGAGAAAGATATATCCCCAGAAGAGGTATCTGCAAACATGAAGCTCAAAGCTTTGTGTGATCCCCCTGTAAAGGCTTTTTAAAAAAGAAAACTTGAGGGGCGCCTGGGTGGCGCAGTCAGTTAAGCGTCCGACTTCAGCCAGGTCACGATCTCGCGGTCCATGAGTTCGAGCCCCGCGTCGGACTCTGGGCTGATGGCTCAGAGCCTGGAGCTTGTTTCCAGTTCTGTGTCTCCCTCTCTCTCTGCCCCTCCCCCGTTCATGCTCTGTCTCTCTCTGTCCCAAAAATAAATAAATGTTGGAAAAAAAAAAAAAGAAAACTTGAATCATATTGTTAGAGAAGGGTGTGATGGGCCATCCAATTGACCACTTTCCTTTAACTTCTGATACACTTCTTTCCTTTCAGCTGGTCTACCTTATGTCTTCCTGACATATGTTCTTCGTATGCCACTCCTTAATATTGGTGTTATGCCAGACTTCTAGGCTTTGCTCTCATCAATATCTGTGTGTTTCCTCATTAATTGCCTTTATTTCCATGTCTCTTATTTCCACCTGTAAACAGATGATTCCTAAAGCTATAACTTCCACCCTGATATCTCTTATATACCTCTGCTTCTACCTTCTCAGTAACTCATAGACATTTCAAACACAACATGTCCAAATTGGAACTAGATATCATCCTCATAAAATGTGACTATTTTCTTCCCGCAGCCCTCATCTTAGTTAATAGCATTTCTGTCAACTTGGTTAAAAGCTTCTCTCCTGACTCTTCTGTCTGCCTCATAATCTTTTTCAATGCTAGGTCTAAAATGTCTTTACCAGCCCAGTGTTTCCTTGAGTACAATGACTTAGTTTTTGCCCTATATCCCATGACTGTCCTCTTGTGATATCCTTCTAACCAGTTTATTCACCTCCAACCTCCACCTGTCATCCTGACCTATGGTTTTTCTAATCTATCTTCCTCCACCCCTAATCCTGGCCCTGAGACAATATAGTTTATGGAAAGTCGTAGGTAGGGTTAGGGTGATCACATCTTAGAATTATCATGTAATACATTCACACACTGGATGAGAAATCACACACTGCATTAATAGTCTATGGTTGGGCTGCCAACCAAGGACCAACGATCAGTTGTATAATCATTGAGCTTGCTTATTCAAAATAAAATTATTTTGTCTTATCCCAAATGTACTGACTAAAAATCCCCTAAGTTAGGCCCTTGAGTTGTATTTTTGTAGACTCTGCAAGTGATTGTGATGCACATCCGTTTTTGGAAACTCTAAGAACTTATCCAATTATAAGATTCAGTGATTATAACACTCTAATCAGAATCCAATTTTCTATTCTGAGAGAATAGTTACAAAAGTATTTTGTGCAATGGCAGCATCATTAAACTAAACATAAAGTCTTCTGAGTGGTTCACATTAAATGAAAAAAAACATGCATTTGAATGTATAAATTCTTGTAAATTTGTGAAAATATTCACACCACATTAGAGGCATGCCTTATGTACATTTCTTCCTATGTATGTATCTGATGGGGTTTTCTTTAGTTTCAGACATGATGTTAATGGGTTACAAAGGAAGAGTTCAATAATATGTTTGATGTAAAAATAGTGGTGAATGTTGTCACGGGAGAACATTTAGAATTACGGTGCTAATTATATCTATACAAAAGCAATTAATATTTAGCAGAGCAGCAGAAAAAAGTAATAAATATTTATACATTTTTTTTCAGTTCATTATCTTTAGCTAATGAAAGGATTCCCACTTCACGTACCACATAACATGCTTCCTATACCAGTAAGTTACTGTGGACATTAATAGCTCATGACCTAGGAGGAGAAACAGGACCCTTTAGAATTAACTATAGTAGATAATAAATTTCATTGTAATATATGTGTTCTAAACAAACAATTATGGAAAAATAAGGGGAGGAGTGATTAATACCTATTTTTCTGTTGTAAAATAGTCTCTGCAAGGAACAAATCTATATAAGTATGGAACTAAACACCATTGTATACTAAAGCCTCAAATATTGAATCCCAACATATAATCAGTATATGTAAACATAGATGCCTAAAAATAAGGATTTAGGTATGTTCATTAGCAATGAGATATGTGTTTATTTATAATTAATGACATTATGCAAAATAATTATATTTAGTCTAGGCCATCTACATTTTTTTTTTTAATTTTTTTTTCAACGTTTATTTATTTTTGGGATAGAGAGAGACAGAGCATGAACGGGGGAGGTGCAGAGAGAGAGGGAGACACAGAATGGGAAACAGGCTCCAGGCTCTGAGCCATCAGCCCAGAGCCTGACGCGGGGCTCGAACTCACGGACCGCGAGATCGTGACCTGGCTGAAGTCGGACGCTTAACCGACTGCGCCACCCAGGCGCCCTGGCCATCTACATTTTTTAAGTTAAAAGCACTTCATTTCAATATTAAATAATCAAGTTTTTAAAATAAGAATGCATTTTTCCATAGAAACAATTTTATAAATTGTGCTGAAAATTCTATGCTAACTCACAAATTCTATTAAACCTATAATGAATTGGGATGCCTGGGTGGCTCAGTCCGTTAAGCCTCCGACTTTGGCTCAGGTCATGATCTCACTGTCCGTGAGCTTGAGCCCTGCATTGGACTCTGTGCTGTCAGCTCAGAGCCTGGAGCCTGCTTCGGATTCTGTGCCTCCCTCTCTCTCTGTCCCTCCCCTGCTCAAGCGCTTGCTCTCTCTCTCTCTCTCTCTCTCTCTCAAAAAATAAAGATTTAAAAAATTAAAAATAAATAAACCCCATAATGAATTTAACAATAATATTAATGGTACTGTTTGAAATCTGAGATCTTGAAGAAAGAGACAGGCAAGGCAGATATAAGGGACAGAGAATGTTTCCTTTTTACAAGAGCTGCTTTTAGGCGTATTTTGAAAGAACCAAATGCTTCTTTACTACCAGTGCTTATTGTCATCTCTCGTACCTCCTAGTAACCATTAGTATTCAAAAACACTTACTACAACACCCTTGATCATGGGTAATGGGAATTTAATAGAAAAATCTTACACCTATATCAATTAGGATTTGGGTTGGCTACATATATCAGGGGGAAAAAGTAGCTTAAACAAGATAAATGTGATATACATAGTCTAGATCTAGTCAGGGGTTCCATAGTTAACAGGGATTCAGGCTCCCTCTATTTTTTCTCTTCCAAAACTCAGAACACATTTTCTGTCCTTAGTTACCTTATATTCCAAGGTAACTGCTGGAGCTCTAGCCACCATGTTTATATTCCAGGCAGGAGAAGGAGAAAGCCAGAAAGGGCAAAAAGGGTACTCTCCAAGATGAGTCACGTTCCTTTAAGGAGTTCCCGGCTTACATCTCTCTGGGTAAAACACCATCACATAGCACATCTGACTACAAAGGTTGCTAGAAAATGTAGTGTTTTAGCTGCACCCTTTACTACCCCCAACTGAAATTGGAGATATGTTGCTGAGAATAAAGGGGAGAATGGATATTTGTTGGCAAGTAGTAAAATATTCCTCAAATATCCAGTGCTCCAGATTGTTTAATTCCATTCCTACTCACTCAAGATAGTTTCTTTATTTTTATGTTTCTATTAAATGTAACACATGCTACTTCATACACACACACACACACACACACACAGAAATGTGGCTAAAGCAGTGGTTCTCATCTTTGGCTGCACATTTAGAAGCACTTAAAGTGTCTTTTAAAATTCCTGATACTCAGACCAATTAAATTAGAAACTTAACACTGAGACCCAGGCCACAGTATTTTTAAAAAATGTCTCCAGGTGATTCCAGTGTGTAGCCCAGTTTGAGGACCACAGTCCTAAATAAAGAAATGTGAAAAGAAGGTGCATAACCTAAATGATGCCAAGTTTTGTCACTTTTTTCTGATGTGTAATGAAGTGATATAAAAACCTGCAAGCCATGAGTCGAAAATAATTTTAGGAGTATTGGCACTTCCCACAGAAGCCAATTTTTTGTCTCTGGGGTCATTTTTCCTCTCCTGCCTCCCTCTTTTCTTTTAAAGTGTCTTCTCTTGATAACACTGGAACCATAGAGTTCTCTGAAAATCCTAACTGTTCTATACAGTGGATTCAAGGACGGCATGGATGGATCCAATGATCACCATCCTTGATGTCTTGACCTCTCACATAGCTCCACATCCATTTAAACTCTCTATATTGCCTCAAATAATTTTCAAATCTGTCCACACTTTTATCTCATTCCAAATCCACACAGCAACCAAAGGAATATTTAAAACAGGTCTGACCATGCCATTCCTCTCCTGTACATAGATCCCTCCCATGACTTCCTATTACTCTAGGACTCTCTGCACTGCAAGATCCCTTGCTGCCTACCTCCCAGCCTTATCTAGGCCACCCATTACACTTGGTAGGTGGCCTCTTTTTGTGCCTCCAATGCCCCCTAGCTCTTTCCTTACAATTAATCTCTGTGTGCCAAACCTACTGAATCCCCAAACTCAGCCAAACCAACACTTCCATTTGCTAATTCCTGTTGAAGGAGGCTTTTATTGCTTACACAGTGTCAGGAACCATACTGTGCTTCTTAATGGCCTTTATCACAGTTGTAAGTAATTATTTAGAAGCACTCCCTCCCCAATTATTTTTTATGAGAGCAAAGAACATGTTCTTCACCATTTTGTTTTCAGAACCGAGAACAGCTCCTATCCCAGAGTCTGTGTTTAATACTATAAAGATAAATATTTTATGAATGAATATATGAAGAAATGAGTACTATAGGAGACTGAGATTAGAAGGGCAGATTGTAGTCAAAGTGAAAGGGTCATTGGCAGCTGCTTGTAACTTAGGCACAAGTGACCCAAGTAAATGTTTCTTCCTTTTTTTTTTTTTCCAATATGTGTCTGTGTCTCTGCAGGTTGTGATCTGATCCCAGTACAGTATCTTCGCTGGGGTGACCCTGAACCCATTGCCGCTGTTGTGTTTGCCTGCCTCGGCCTGCTGGCCACCCTATTTGTTACTGCAGTCTTCATCATTTACCGTGATACTCCAGTAGTCAAGTCCTCCAGCAGGGAACTCTGCTACATTATCCTTGCTGGCATCTGCCTGGGTTACTTATGTACCTTCTGCCTCATTGCAAAGCCCAAACAGATTTATTGCTACCTTCAGAGAATTGGTATTGGTCTTTCTCCAGCCATGAGCTACTCAGCCCTCGTAACCAAGACCAATCGTATTGCAAGGATCCTGGCTGGCAGCAAGAAGAAGATCTGTACCAAAAAGCCCAGGTTCATGAGTGCCTGTGCCCAGCTAGTGATTGCTTTCATCCTCATATGCATTCAGTTGGGCATCATCGTTGCCCTCTTTATAATGGAGCCTCCTGATATAATGCATGACTACCCAAGCATTCGTGAAGTCTACCTGATTTGTAATACCACCAACCTAGGAGTTGTCACTCCTCTTGGATACAATGGTTTGCTGATTTTGAGCTGTACCTTCTATGCTTTCAAGACCAGAAACGTTCCAGCTAACTTCAATGAGGCCAAGTACATCGCCTTCACCATGTACACCACCTGCATCATATGGCTGGCCTTTGTGCCAATCTACTTTGGCAGCAACTACAAAATCATCACCATGTGTTTTTCAGTCAGCCTCAGTGCCACAGTGGCGCTGGGCTGCATGTTTGTGCCAAAAGTGTACATCATCCTGGCCAAACCGGAGAGAAACGTGCGCAGCGCCTTCACCACATCTACTGTGGTGCGCATGCATGTGGGGGATGGCAAGTCATCCTCAGCAGCCAGCAGGTCCAGCAGCCTAGTCAACCTGTGGAAGAGGAGGGGCTCCTCTGGGGAAACCCTAAGGTAAAGGTTGTGGGGGGGAGGTGTGGGGCACTGGTCCCTGTAGCTGAAGCAGTGACATTTGCTTCCCAGGTCTTTTAAGTTTAAAATATCTGAGTGAATGAAAACTGTGGGAGGCAGGGTGCTGGGAAAGGGGCCTTGGCCTTCTCATTGAATGGTTTTCATGGGGTTAATTGGATGTAGAGCCAGTTACTTATGCCAAAGCCAGAAACAGAGAAGTTGAGATAAAGAACAAAAGCAGAGTTTTGGCAAAAGAGAAGTGAGGTCCAAAGGGACAGGGAGAGCACGGTTAAGTCATTAAGCCAAGGAAAGGACCTCCAGGTCCGGAGGGTACAGAGGAACATAGTGGACCAAATTCTAGTTCCCAGAACACAGTAGAGAATTTATTGTTAACAAAGATCAATGCTGAGCACAGAGTGCCAAGAACCTCACACACCTGACTGCGTTATGTGCCTGAACCTTTTCCAAGCTCAGCAGAGTCCTTGACTGTTCATCCCATAGAGGCATGTGAATGTAGAATTTATATTTTAGTTCTTAATGGGCAACTTGAACTCTTAAGGAAATGTCTAAGAATCTGAAAGGGTCAAAACAAAGGGACTTTGCATATAATCTTCCTAAACAACTAGCCAGTTTCCCATTGTGGCCCACAGTCCCACCCCATCCTTCATGCTCAGTATCCCAGGTAGTAGTTATTGGTCACCTCTTATCTGCAAATAAGCCAACAGCCAATGATTTACCCCTATGTGAGGCACTTCTCTAAGTGATAAATGACACCTATAGCACTTCAAAAGGCAATGAGATCATCTTTTTTTTTTTTTAGCCAATTAAGATCTGTATCTTTAATAAACATCTGGAGAACACTGGCAGCATAGATTACTATATTCCATGTTGTCCCAGAGAAGTGTGGTTCCTTAAAGTCTGTTTAAGTATGACAGACTCTTAAGAACTGAAAGTGTAACCTATCATCCCATAGAGCTGCTCAGATCACTTGCTCCTTCCCTGCTTCTCTGAGGAAGGGGAGATGGTGGCCTCTGTGCACAGCTGATATGAAATTAGTTCAACTAATAACTTCCCAGTATGAGGGCAAAGAGATCAGTGGCTTGGGAACAAATTTGGAGGTATTAAAAAGGCTACATAGGGTGTTACTGGGATAAGGACTTCCTCCATTTAAGAAGGGCATATCAGTCAGAAGAGCTAGTCAGAACATTATCTGCTCACTCTACAGAGATTTGATAATTTTCCTAAAATCTAGATAAATAAGTGGAAGACAAACCACTTACAAGTGGAAGATAAATAGCTAAATATTGTTGCTTGAACAGTTCTCTTATACTATCATTTAGCCTGCATGGAAAGTCCCACCTTTCCATCAGGCCTAATTCTTCAAAGCCTGAATAATGGTGATGATAAAGATACCATGTCTTCTGAGGATTGAAAAGCACTCAGAATACTTAATCACGTAGCTTAATTCATTTGCATTATTAACTTCTATCCTTGCCTCTTTTATTTTTTTTTTCCTAATTCTTGTATGCCTCTCATTGCTTTCCATGTACATTGTTCAAGGTATTTAACTAAATTGTAAATCTTGGGGAAAACAACAGTGTCTTCTCCTACTTCAATAAATTGTGACAATATCATGGTCTGTCCACAGAAGGCCCTTCATATATTTAACTTGCCAGAATATTTTCCATCTGCTTTCTTAACTCCTCCCTCCCTAAAATATTCTTTTTCTGAAACTTCTGCAAGATCAGCCTTTTATTTTGTCTAAGAAAATGTATTATATATATATTTTTTTAATTTTGTAACATTTATTTATTTTTGAGAGAGAGAGAGAGACAGTGTGTGAATGGAGGAGGGACAGTGAGAGAAGGAGACACAGAATCTGAAGCAGGCTCCAGGCGCTAAGTTGTCAGCACAGAGCCCGATGCGGGGTTTGAACTCACGAACCGTGAGATCATGATGTGAGCTGAAGTCGGACACTTAATCACCTGAGCCACCCTGGCGCCCCGAGAAAATGTATTTTTCAAACTTCAATTTTACCAGCCTTTGTTTAAACTCTTTCTTCAAGTAATATGTACATTGTTCAAGGTACCTTCCAAGGCACCTTCCAAGGTATCCTGTACCTTCCAAGGCATCCTGATAGGTATAAAAAAAAAGGTTGCCAGAGGGATAGAATTGTGAGCTTGTGCCTAAGCACCCCAAAAAACTCACTAGGGCAGGCTACTTAGGCAGTGTGGAGCAGTGGTGAAGAACATGGTTTTGTAGCCAGTTTCTCCTGAGTCTGAATACTGGCACTGCCATTTCTTCTGTCTGAGGCTTAGTTTCTTCATCTGCCACGTTAAGATCATATCATCTACCTCAGAGGATTGTAAAAGAGTGAAAGAAATAATATATGTGTAAAGGCCAGGTACACAGTAGATATTTCAATGAACATATCAGAGTACAGAGCTAGGCAGCTCTGGGATTGAACATTGGCAGCATCGCCTACCAGCTGTGGGACCATAGGCAAATCAGTTAACCTCTCTATGCCTTAATTTCCTCCTCTGATGAATGAAGATAATGAAATACAGACTTTACACAGTGTTTGTGAGATTAAACGAGTAAATACATGTAAAGTGTATACCATGCAGGAAGCACTTCTTAAGTGTTTGTTTGCTATTATTTTTAACTACGTTAACAATTGTCAGTCTTCTTCCACACCTGAAAACTTCTGTGTCAGGTATGCAAACAAGATGATCCTAATAACGAAGAGAGCATCATAAAAGGCAGTATAGATCTATAGACACATTAATTACACAGCCTGAGCTTCCAGAGTATCTCCATTTTTACATGGTCTAGTTCCTTGCCAGATTGTAGAGGATATCGTTCATCCTAATTTAAGCAGAATAAGCTCCTTGGGAGTGAGAGCCTTCTCTATCTTGTCATTGCTGTGCCTCCAGTGCCTGGAAGTCCCAAGAAGGGTGCTTGACACATAGAAGACACTAAATAATCTTTGGTATATTTATTGAGCAAATAAATTTGGCAAGGTAGTAATGCATACCCTGTACTACTATCCCCTGGTGGTTCTACCACCTTTTATAACATTAAGCCTACTGTGATCTGTATTATAAATATCTCCTGCACTCCTATGGTCCTCAGTTTCTGCTCAAGAATCAGGTCATTAATCCCATCCACTGATCTGATGCATTGCTATAATTCTAACATAGCTCTAGTAACATTAAGTTACATTTTCAACTGTTTTCTTTATACTTCAGTAAATAAGGGGCAACATAAATAACAAAATTCACTAATAGTGCCAATAGAAAACAGAAACTCTCTAGATTTGTGGCAGTACTTTAACTTGTGTTCGTTACATGGCTATGTAGTCCTTGATGATTGGATTTTGCATTCAGCATTATTTGAGTATGAAAACATCAAAGAGAATAAGGAGGGACCTTTGGCAATTGTTGGGTTTTCTGCACGCAGTCTTGTCAAATGCTGGTCTGTATGATTATAGCTGAGACAGGCTATAGTCTGATTATATAGTGACTTCTTTTTTGCCCTTAACCAGCACACTCAGACTGGAACCTGCTTTCAATAGAAGAAAGGCCAGAAAAAACTATAATACCCTTGCATCACACAATCCCCTGTCCCCTTCTTTTAAGCTATAACCCTAAAAAATAAATTAGATCCAAACTAAAACTATTTTCCTCTGTGTTTCCCATGAGCTCTCATATGAAGTATTTCATCTCTGTTATCCAACACCAAGATGTTTAGAATCTTAATATAGTATTTATCACATTGCAAGACATAACTGGCTATGTATGCATTTATCTTCCCTTTTATTTTATAAAGGCCAGTATGTATAACATTATCTACCTCTATGGCTTAAATAATGGGGAAACAAGTGAACTCAGAGCTTCTAGTATTTTCACATTTTATTCTAAATTACTTTCATTAGTTGGGCTTCTCAGACTTGAATTCTGTAATATGCCAATAAACCTATCTATTGGGATCTATGGTGGGCTTAAGTAGTTAACTTAACTCTCTGACTGTAGGTCTCTGGGGAAAAGCAGCTGCTATGCAGGACCCAGCCTGGTTCTGCTTTCTTACATCTGTTACATGGAGAAGTGGGCTCCTAGAAACCCAGAGTGGGTCTGGGCCCTGTTTGAAAAGGCCTATGCATATCCCTTCCATATCTGATGGCAGAAAACTAGGGCTCCATTTTGAAGATGGCACTAATTTCATACTCTAGAGTGAAAATAATACCTCCCGAGATTATAGTGACTGTGTTTCCAAAAGTTAGGACACACTGTTGGAGCAGTAGATGCAGGACAGTAGATGCAAATACGGAAAGCTAGTTTATAGTTCTGGCTTTGGAGCCACACCTGGAATGAAATCTAGCTGTGTGAATTTGAACAAGGTATGCCAGTTTGTCTCCTTAACTGTAAAATGGTAGATAACGATCCCTGTTGTGAGAGTAAATGAAGTGATGAGTGTTAAATGCTTAGCTATTAGTGCGTTAAAAGCATTCAATAAGTGGTAAACTTTTTAGAAATGTGTTCAGCTGCAAGTAAGAGAAAGCCTGATTTTGAGAGACTTATAGGATTTGTATGGGTTTTGCTTTCCTCACGTTACAAGAATACGTAGACAGACAGCTCCTGGTGTTCCTCCAATGCTCTCAGTGGTGCCAGAGCCGACGTCTCTGCTGTTCCCCAGGCCTTTTACTAATGGTTCCACAACAGTTCCATGCATTGCATCCTTTTATTAGGGAAAACAACAGTCTTCTCAGAATCTCATAACAACTGCCTTTATGTCTCATTGGCCAAACTGTCTCATGTAGCTACCCCTGGCTGCAAGAGAGTAGAAAAAAGCTTGCATTGAGCTTTTACACCTTCTATAATGGAAATGGAGAGGGAGGAGGGAAATGGAGAAAGAGAAGCAAGTCAAGTGCTTGTGGGATAAGCCCATGAATAGTGTCTGCCATGGAAAGTGGTAGTACCTAGCAGTAGTAGTGGCAGTAGTAA